TGAGGCCTTGAGATTCTCTGGGGACTCACTTCTACATGTTTGTTAGCATGTAAATTATCTCAGCTATCAGTCAGATGCAGTCATTTTTTTCACTTTCCAGAGGTTCACTTTTCTCTAAAGAAGTCTATCAGAGATAGTGGTGTTGGAAAGAGGTGACGTAGGAAACATTTTTGCATTTCTGCTGAACATTATACACAATATGTATACACATGTAAGTAGTTCAGTTGGGGCTGCTTGGTGCAAAATGTCTACTTTGTCGCAATCTATTATTCTTTTAAGATAAAAAAAAAAAAACGTAGATGATATATTAGCTATAACTAATAGATGATATATTAGCTATAACTATATTAGTCATACTGAGTCATGATAGGCCTAAAACTGGGATGTGATTAATTACAGTCCATATGGACCAGCTGCAGTTCACCAGACTGCCGTGACTGGGGATGGTGAGATGATGTTGTCTTTGTATGTCCTTGCCAATCCTGCGACTATATCTGTGAGATCTACGAGAGGAGCAGACTAAATGTGATACTGTTCTGAGATCTCACTTTGTGTTTGTTGATGAGATAGTATCTATGAGGTATGAGATAAACAGTGTGGGATTTGACTTTGTTCATTTTTTTCCCCTGCTGGGTAGAAAACACCAGCTCGTACCTGCCTGCAGATATCAGACTGATGTTATGTCAACACAAGGCAAAACTATAGTTGTGTCACATTTTTGCCTAAGAAAAAAAAACTTGATTGATGGTTGTATAACCAGGATATTTACAATTTGCCTGTAATGCACTTATATTTACAAGTCTAGCCAACTTTATTTCTATAGCACATTTAAAACTGGAGAAGGTGCCTCACATTACCACAGTGGTGCTCACATGTTGAATGTAGAAGAAACTGAGGTTTGAAGGATAAATTCTGCAATGTGCTGACAAAAGAAATGATCACAAGTGAACGTGATTACACCACGAATTAGGCTGTATGTATGATAGCTGAGAATCTCATCTCCCTTCTTGGCAATCTGATGACGTCACTGCATCAGTGATCAGTGAGTGTTCCATAAGCCCCGTCTCTCTAGTGTGTTATTTTTAAACTCTGAAAACCTTGTTTTGACTTGACATATTTACTTGCACTTGTATCACTATTAGGTATATTTTTTAGGTGTTTTAGTGAAATGTATGTTGTAGCATACTGATTGCTTTGTTTCCTTCAGTCCTACACTTCTGACATTGTGATGGAATTGGTCCAACGATACATACAGAACATTATTATCTGTTTTTGTGACATCATCATTTCTGCCAAACTGACTACATGTTTTTCTTTCAACTATTATTATCATTATTCTGTCCTATACTGTGTTTCTCACATCAGATGTGAACTGATGAAGAAGTGACATCTTTAACTGTAGTTACATAACAACCTGAGTTTGGCACATAATTATAGTGTTACCTTCAGAAGAACATACACTCGCAGCAAGAAGGTCGCCGGTTCGCGTCCTGGTGAGGACACCCGGGATCTTTCTGTGTGGAGTTTGCATGTTCTCCCCGTGCAGGAGAACTCCAGGTTCTCCAGCTTCCTTCCACAGTTATTTATTTATTTATGGATACCTGGATTGCAAACTTGATCATTCTCAAATTATCCATTGCTGGTCTTCAAACATTTGATGAGACTTTGCACTGTATTTGGATCAAATCTCATGTATTTGCCGCTCTGGATAAAGGTACTGGTGATCCTTAACTTTCATACTTGCACAAGCATTGAAGTTTGTCCAGTATTTTTTTTTTTTCAGACTACCTTGAAAACTAATGATGTTCTCATGAGCCTTAAGTTCTGGTTTGATCAGCAAATGTTAGCGTGCTAACAGTCTGAATTCAGACATAAAAGACAGTTGGTTTCTGCAAGAAATTCAAGTTTGACCAACGTCCAGTTCAGAGTAAGTAGGTACAGAAAAGAAAGGATCTCTTTTCTTCATAGAGCCTCAATCTGCCCAAACACACACACACACACACACACACACACACACACACACACACACTTCCAAAAGGCCATCCACACAGCTCTCTCTTTTGTCTTTTGTTCCCTGGCTATCTTTTCTCTCTCCTTGGCTCCTCTCATCTCTCTCTCCCCGCTCTGTCTCTGGGAAGTTTTTTCACTTTCACTCTGAACTGTCAGGAGGAAGAATGTGTCTATAGAGATCCGTGCTGGCTGTAGACTGTGGCTTCTTCTTGATTCCCAGTTTTGGCTCAGCTCATTGGTTGCTCTTAGCTTGAGGTCATCATGTTAAAACTATAGACCTAATCCATACACAGCCCCCTCTGTGAGGCCAGACAACAAAGCATCACACGGAGTGCAAATGATGAAGTGGATGCATTTAGACTTTAGAGTATTAATACTAATACTGATTGCATTCAAATTAGTGATTTTCCGCAATTTGTGGATGATTTGATGTGTGGAGGTATGAAAGCACAGAAGATCTGAACTCTAAAGTTTTTTTTCACACATAAAAAGTAAGTTTACAGTTGCTCTTGTGTGTATGTTTGATGGCATTACCAAAAAAATACTTTTAGGAAGTGACTGTCCAAAATTCTAAAATTACATGGTCTCCTGAAAACTGTGCTGTCAGGAAAGTATGATGGCTTTGGTCAAATGTAAATTAATAAAAACAACAACTCGCTTCATGCTTCTAGACAGCGTTTTGCACAAAAAAACCTGCAGTTTGTGTTTGTGGATAACGTGGAACTTCATAGTTTACATATTGTTCTAATGTAGGAGGGAGAATGTCAATTAAATACAGCAAAAAAAGAAAAGTGTGTGGAAGTCAGTGTGGTGGAGGAGTGCGCGGCTTGTCCCACTTTCTTTTGGTTTGTTTGTTTTGTCCCAATGACTTTCTTTCTTTCTTTCTTTCTTTAAACCACTATGTTTTCCGAACCGTACTTACATCATAATAAGCTTGAACGACAGTGATTGTAAATGATTTTAGAAGGAAATAATCTTTAAAACAATGACACTGAATAGTAAAACATACATAGATATATATCTGAACTTGATGTAGGGTATTACAGAATCTTCTAATCGATGACAAGGTTGGCTTTAGAAGAAAGGGTTGCTGCTGCCAACTAAAGTAAACTGAATTTGGATGTAACAGGAATCTCTGCCAAGATCACAACTTGTGGAGCAACTGGTGCTTCAAAAACCTGTTTTCTTACCATTTTTGTGCATATTTATAATGCTAGTACCAAATGCCTCATATAAATGTAGTCTCTCCTAATTATGTTTTTTTTTTTATTTTATTTTTTTATCTGTTGAATCCATTCATCTTGTGGTTTAATGAGTCAACTTTTCTTTCCTAAACATCTGGTGACACAGTTGATGACATCTTTGATAAGAAGATTAAATGGGAAAATAAATCAGGCATCTTGAATTTGTCAAAGGGAACCCGACTCAGAACGTAGTGGTTCAGTGACATTCTCCCTTTAATAGCACCCACTTCCTTTTTAAAAGACCACATGTTGCCTCATTATGGGGTTGTGGGGAGCAGTAGGAAAATTGTCTCTATTCTTTCAATGTGAATCAGGCCTTCAAACAGGCCTCCTGTAGGCCACTGCAACATCAAAAAGCATGCACAGAGAATTTAAAAGAGTTCAAATAAGTAATAAGTAATAGTTAATTTAGATAAGTCAAATACATCTGGCTTCCTTTCAGGTTTCTGGTTTAGCTGTGTAAAGGTGGAGTTACAGCATAAATAGTAATGACAGTATAGTACAGTATATGTGGTGTGATCTGCAGACTTGCATGTTGTTGCCAGTTCAGTTCTGTTCAGTTCTGTTCAGTGTGGTGACCAGCTCTTTTATTTGTCTTTTATTATGAGGATGTACCAACCTAGTGGCATCGCAGAAGGGTTAGGTTGGGATAACTGGTTCCATTTTGGATTAGTTCACAGTCGACAAAATACCCAAATTCGTTAATCTGATGCCTGGTTTACAAATGCAAAATAATCTGTTATCAGACCTTTTATCTCTCCTCCGTATTTATTAGAACAGACACTTCTAATATGTATGAACTTAACTGTTACTTTCTCTGGTTAAATAGTAGGGATGCACGATATATCGGCGACCAAATAGGTATCGGCTGACATTAGTGTTTTTTCCCATATATTGATATCGGTCCTATGAACAGATTGAGCCGATGAAAAAAAACGATGATTGTCTAACATTAGTGCCTTCGTCTCTACATTTGATATTGCTGCTATTTCACGGATGTTTTTACTTAAATGGTCCTGGACTTGAACGTTAAATATATTAAAATATGTTTAAAAATGTTACAGAATAAAGAATACTATGTGGTCTAATTTAGTATGAGCTTCTTCTGAATAGTTTTCGCGTTCTGAAAGTGCTTACTTACGCTAATTTTTCGGTGTGAACAAAAGTTGAATAATAAGTTGGTAATATCAGTTGTTGGCGATGTCAGAAATCTTAATATCGGTATTGGCCAGAAATTTGATATGGACTTTGTTTATGTTAACTGAGTAAAACGCTCCCCCCTTAGATTTCTATGTATGAGAAATGTCACGGAGCTTGTGTGGTGAAAGAATGTATTTCAGTACAAATCATGGAAATATGCCAGTCAGGTGAAATTGCCAACTTAAATTAGTAACTTTTTTTTTCCACTGGGGAAATATGTCAGAGTTTGTGAGAATCAGAAATTTTGAAGGGAAGCCTCTGTGTCAAAATTATAGAAAGTAATCAACAGTATTCAAAGCTAGCAAGTTTCAGTGAGCAGCCAGGGATGATATCTGGAACTTTGGTGAGAAAAAAAAAGACACAAATTGTATTAATGGTGACAGAATCTAATCTCATTTCTTTCAAACAAAGTAAAGAAATGAAAACATACAGTAGGCTATCATTGCTAAAACCTCTGAAGTGGAATATTATTTAATGTGACCAGTGAATTTTCGTCATCCATTCTGCACTGACAACACTTGTCTCTCTCCTTCTGTCCACCCTCAGGTTGTTTGCCACTAAGTGCAGCGGCTGCCTGGAGAAAATAGCACCCACAGACTTTGTCATGCGAGCTCTAGAGAGCGTTTACCACGTCAGCTGCTTTTGCTGCTGCGTCTGTGAGCGCCAGCTGTGCAAAGGGGATGAATTTGTTTTAAAAGAAGGTCAACTGCTGTGCAAAAGTGACTTTGAGAAGGAGAGGGACCTGCTCAGTCCAGACAACTCAGAATCAGGTAAGACTGGAGCTTCTATAACACACTGTTACAGCCTACAACCACATATTAAAGCACATCTAATTGATTTCTTCATGTACTGTAATAATCTGTAAGTTTGAGATTGCTTATCATTATTAATATAATGGATTTTACCTTGCTTGCAATGCAATACAGAAAGAAAAACGATTCAGATGAAGTTCAACAACAAATAAAAGAATTTCATTTGTTGTGTTTGTGGTGACAGATAAGAGCGAGGATGAGGAATTGGACGTAAAGTCAGAGAAATTCCCTGCAGCAGGAAAAGGCTGCGAAGACAGCAAAGACTCTCGCAGGCCAAAACGGCCTCGTACCATCCTCACCACCCAGCAGAGGAGAGCCTTTAAAGCCTCATTTGAGGTCTCCTCCAAACCCTGCAGAAAGGTGAGAAGAAGCAGACAGTGAATCTACTGTATAAGGGTACGGTAAGACATCTTATCAAACTGTAGAATGACATTATAAAGTTTTTTGGTTGTAAAATCAGAAAATATAACTTTTGTTTCTGTTGGTCTTTTCTTTTTTGAAATGCAGTGCAGTTAAGTAGTGTTACCACTGAATACAGGTTCAAAAACAAAACAGTCAAAAAGAAAAATAATAAAGTGCAGTTTAAGTGAGCTGCTGAATCACAAATAAAAATGGCCAAGATATGAAGATATGTAGATAATCCAGATGTCTATATTTAAACTACATGTACTAATATTGCCTCTTTCTCAGCACTTGTCTTAATCCTTAACCTAATCTCATATTTACCTGTTCCTTTAGGCAAAGAGAAACATGAATATGTGAAAATAGGACAAATTTGTTCAGTCATTTTATTTAGGAATGTGGGTTGAATGTTATGCTTGATTCATTTCTGACTTCTCAGAGAGGCCCATTTAACTCAAATCTGGGTGTAAAAAGGTGAATTCAGTTTGAAATTCCTCATTCCTGTTTAAAATGTCGAAAGCTACAGTCCACATTAAAGCTCTTCATGATGCTGGATGGTCTCTGAGACAAATAGGGAAAGACATAAAGTGTTGTCACAGTGTGCTCAAGTATGCTTTGGAGTCAGTTGCAGAGAGCGGTACTTACAAAATTCACCAAGGAAGAGGCAGGAATGAAAGTTAGTTGAAGCAGATATCAGACACCTCAAGATTTTAAGTACGAGAGACAGAAAGAAGACCACCGCTGATCTTCAGGCAGAGATGAATGTTTCTAGATCAGAGTCTGAGAAAGTCTCCAGAATGACCATAAGACACGGCTGATGGAACAAGGCTTAAAGGGAAGAAGAGCTCCTAAGAAGCCATTACTGAGGCCTGGACACATCCAGAGACCCCTCAGAAGCAGCCAGCGAGCACAAACACTGGACTGTTGATGACTGGAAGATGGTACTCTGGACAAACGAGTCCAAGTTCGATCTCTTCGGTCAGCATTGTCGTATTTTTTACAGGGACTACAGCCCCTGTATGTGGGTCGCCAGCTCAACTAGTTGAGCTATAGCGGTGACCCCAGCTTTGTCGTGTTTATGTCCATAGAAAAGCTGGAGAACGTTTTGATGCCAGATGCATTGCACCCACAGTGGAACACGGTGAAGATTCCATTATGGTATGGGGTTCTATTTGTGGAAACGGTGTGGACAAATTAGTGAAAATCAACGGTATCATGAAGAAGAACGTCTACCACAACATCTTAGTGCATCATGGAATCCCTTCTGGACTGAATCTGATTGGTTGTAGGTTCATATACCTACAAGACAATGACTCCAAGCTTACTTCACAGCTGTGCAGACTGCAGAGACTATCTGACCAAGAAAAAGGAATCTGGAGTTCTGGAACTGATGGACTGGCCAGTCAAAGTCTGGATTTGAATCCTATGGAACAAATTTGGGATGTAGTACATTCAAAGATTCATCTCAAGGAAATCTGTGGGAACAGCTAGAAACTATTTGGAGCTCAATAACACAAGAGTATGTTGAAAAGTTTATAAAAACAATGGCAGCAAGAATACAAGCTGTTATCAAGGCCAAAGGAGGCCATCCAAGATATGACGTTTTTTGGTTATTTTGTGTGAAAAAGCACTACTTAGTTGTTTCAGTTTGTTATTTGCCAAAAAAAATAACAAAAACATTTTAGTTGTAGAAACAAGTTCTTGAAAGATTTCTGAAATATGTATGTTTTCTGTGTTTTCTCGTTTTTATGAAAGGTGGTCTAATAAATTTGCTAAGCACCGTACATCTTTGGCACTCGAAATCAATTCTGCAGCATTTGCTGTTTGTACTGTTTTCTCATCATTAAATGCTGTACCTGTATGAAAGATACAGGCACACAATGTTCATGTCAACACAGTACAGCATGCACTGATGGGACATTGTATAAGTAATTATTTTAATGATTTTAATAAAGTGTCAATAGCAGGGTTATTTATTACTAGTTATACAGTGCTATCGATGCTCTTATAAGAGTTTGACATCATACATTTGCCTTTGATAATGTTGCCTAGTAACATGGGCAACTTAGTCTCCCAAACAGGCAACGAAAGGCGAGAACAAGGATGCCAGAAAGGCCCCAAAGATGGCATCTGTTCATACAAACAGAGTCAAACTCAGCAGTGCACTTACTTTAGTCCCAAACAGTACACCTGCTAAGTTTAAAATATATTGAATGTAAAATGTAAAACACACAACCACGCACATGCACACGCACACACAAGCGCACACACATACACGCACGCACACACACACAGGTCTCTCTATTTCTTAGTGAGATTAAAGGTTCCTTGATTATCCTGAAACAACCAAGGACTTCTCTGAAATACAGAGAGCTTCTCCAGATGCCCAGGTCAGAACTGCAGAGCTCAGTTCTTTGGATTTACCCCATAATGTAGTACATTATCCATATGCCTTATATTTCACTCATTTCCAGCAAAAACCAAACCACCAAACCAGAGATAAACTCACAACAGACCACCATTATAACTTAACTATAACTACTAAAGGAAATGCTAGATGTTTATTTCATGCGCAATGTACATCTCTCTCAGATCAATAGCACTGTGTGTCTGATGACACAAAGTCTGTTATCCTGATATGAGAAAAAAACACAACAGCAAATCAAAGAGGATTTCAGCATGTACAAAGGGCTGACGAATGTACATGTGCTGTGGTTTGCAGGTGAGAGAGACTCTGGCTGCAGAGACTGGACTCAGTGTTCGTGTGGTCCAGGTGTGGTTCCAGAACCAGAGAGCAAAGGTCAGTTCAGCATGTCCAAGAAAAGCAAGCTGTCATAATTCACACATTATACATGGTAGTGCTGCGTTTACAGTGTGGGATGGATGGAAGCATTCTCATATTTATAGAGGGATAGGTTTGTTCCTCTGTTTGGTTTTTTGGTTTTTACTTCAGTTTTTGTGGTCCTTAAATTAAATGGAACTAAAATCTTTAGCTGAGGTTCAGGAGCAGGAACACATCTTAACCACTCCCCTTCCTGTCATACGTCTATACATACCACTCTGCCCTTCACGCTTCTCGTGCACAGAGCAACACACGCCATCGCTCAGCCACGCTGCCAGTCTGAAAGTTTTAGAAAACTCTGACATACTACAGACTGCTCTTCCATCAGCCCTTATTGAGGGAACATTCAACCCAGCTCCAGATCAGCCCAATCCACAACGAGGCCCGGAGACGAGGAGATCGGCATTGCTCCAGAAAAGTCACCGTTCACCGCATCGTTCATCACAGAGAGACGACTTCAATCAGAACTTCTCTGTCCGTTCTTCAGCTACATCAGACTCCTCATCCGATGGGGAAGCTCTTCTCAGGGAAGGCCAAAACGAAATTACTCCCTCCTCATCTTTTACTTGCTCCAGCGCTAATGTCCGAAGCAGATGAGCATCCACATCCGGAAAAGATCAGCGCACTCCCACAATCCTGACAGATCCTCTGGCGTTGTCCCTCCACACGAAATTTGCGACCAGACCGACGTGGGTCTTCAGAAAGCAGTAAGAAAGACTTTATCTGTCACTGCGCTGACACCAAAGCTAAAGCATTCCAACTTCTGAGAAACTCCCAGAGCTAAGATCACATGACCACAAGAAGCCTCCATCTGGCAGGCACTGAAGCTGCACCCCACAACATGACCCCATCACGCTACCCATACCTTTGCCAACTTAAAAAAAAATAAAAATGACACCGTCAATGCCTGATGCAGACAAGTCTGCAGAGAAGCACTGGGCTGCCAGCTTCTAGCAGAGTTCGACAACGACCCGACTCTAATTCTCAACATAGTCCTCCATCCTGGAGACACAGGCATCTATCATTCTTACATTCAGCTTGACTCTACTGCAGGAGCTCGCCTCCAACAATTCATCTAAGACACCTACTGGGGGCGTCGCTACAAGGACCTGCATCATTGCACCTTTTTAGCACATTCAGCCACCACATGTACTGTCCACAATTCACAGCAGATCTGCCCCCTTCAATCATCTCCTGTCTACAGCATCACGACAAGCTGCTATTCCCAAGGCCACAAGGCTTCTCACTCCCATGCTCCTGCCACAAGGTGTCAACCTAAAGGAAAACCAGTGCTTCAGTTACAAGGACAAACTATCTGCAACAATCTAAACCTTGCTGGCCAAGGTACACCTCAGTGCAGATACCTGCACACTTGTTTCTTCTGCAGCAGTGGTCAGTCTCGACTGGCCTGCCCTCACAACCGTCTTGTGCCACATCTGTCTTAAGTTTTATGCCTTGATTCTTGGCACCTTGATGCTAACGTCACTAACTACTTCAACTACAATGATCCACTTTTACACACCGGGATGCTAGATTCTCCATCACTTTCAGTGCAGATACCAGCAGGCTTGCTCCTTCTGCAGCAGCGCGGTCACTCTCGACCTGTTTACTCTCAAAACCTCACAAAACATGACCAAATCATTAACCCTACATATCATCTGCTACATACATCAAGTGCCTTCAGACAATTTCCACCCATGGGTCATCTCACCGTTATTAGCAAGTGCTAAAGTTTCAGTCTATAATAAAAGATTCAGATGCCACTGGCCCACTGCAGGTCAAAGAAGTAAAGAAATTGGACATCAACAATCTCCTGCTCTCATTCTTGCACTGGACACCAGTTTGATCAATCTTTATCCCCCGCTTAACAACTTCGGCTCATTCTGGCACTGAGATGCCAGTTTGACTCATTTCTATCCTCCACTTCAACAATATTGGCTCTCATTCTAGCACCAAGATGCCAGTTTCACTAGACTGCCTATACATCAACAACAGTCTGCTTCTTACACTGCTGGCACTGGGACATAAGTTTCACTTATCTCTATCCCTGGAAAGAGCACTTTGAGGAGCTCCTCAACTGGATTCACACCTCCTCTGCTGAGGAAGCAGAGCCTGAAAACTTAAGGAAGCTCCACTCATATCCATGGTAGAGGTAGTCAAGAAACTCCTCTTTGGTAAGGCACCAGGTGTGGTTGAGATTTTTCCTGAGCTGCTTCAAGCTCTGGTCATTGTTGGACTGTCTTGACTGACATGTCTCTTGAGTGTCGCATGGACATCAGGGATGGTAGACTGTGGAGTGGCAGGCCATGGTGGTGGTTCCTAGTTTCAAAAAGGGGGACTAGACAGTCTGTTCCAATTATCAGGGCAACACACTTCTCTGCCTCCCCAGGAAAGTTTACTCTAGGGTGCTGGAGGGAAGTCTCTGATTGTCGAACCTAAGAGTAGGGAGGAGCAATGTGGATTGCGCCCTGGTTTTGGAATAACATGGACCAGCTCTTTTCTCTTGCAGAGCTGCTGAAGGTGTCAACCAGACAGTCCAACCAGACAGTCCACATGTGTTTTGTGGATTTGGATAGGGCTTACAATGGTGTCTCTCAAGAGGCTCTCTGGGAAGTGCTAAGGAAGTTTGGGGTACTGGGCTCGTTGTTACGAACCATCCAGTCCTTGTTGAAGCCAGTTGATGGGGTTCGGACATCTGATTAGGAAGTCTCCTGGGTGAAGTCCTTTGAAGGTTTTCCAGGCACGTCTGCCTGTGAGACTCCAGGACAGGTTCAGAACTTGATGGAGAGATTATATATCTCCATTGGACTAGGAATGCCTTAGCATCTGCTATAGGAGGAACTGGAAAGCATTGCTGGGGAGAGGGACGTTAGGAATGACTGTTGCCTCTTCGCCCTGACCCCTGAGAAGTGGAAGAGAATGGAAAATAAATGGGAAACTAGCATCTTGTCGTTTTAATAGACACCCCCCAAAAATGCTAAACAATTTTTTAAAATCAGTTAAGCTTCAGCGGATCGAGAATTTATAAACAACTATTTGCTTGGCTTGGTGGTATCTGGAAGCAATAAATAAAAAATATTCAGTTCATGCTAGCCTCATGTAGACCTGAATAACTCTAAGTCTCTGGTTAATGTGTGATTGTTAGCAGCCCTGCTAACATCCACATTACCCTTAAAAGAGCCAACTCTGATTCTGTTCCCTCTGGATCTTTCCATTTTCACAGCCGATTCCTGTCTGATCAGAAAACTAATGTTCAGATGACATGCTGGCAAAGTTAGCTAACATCAATCTATAAAGTAGTTCAGCATTTGGCAACAGCTCTATTCTTTGGTATAGCTCATTTAAAATTTGCTGGCCAGGCAGGTTCACCTAAGAATTGCTAGCCTCTCTTTTCTTATGACCTGTGTTCAGTCCATGATCACAGTTAGGCTAAACGACAGATTTCTGTGTGAAGTGACAATGAAACTGTCAGTGATAGGTAAACATGTTTTTATATATGCTGTACAATAACATATATGTATATATTTATTTTATTTTATTTTTATTTTTTTAAAGACAATAAGTGAGATAGCAAAACCATAAACTTTCTCCTTTTAATTAAATATTGGGGATGCATTTGCTCCGATTGCTCTAATGCTCATTGCAAACACACTGTGTACACTGTGTCAGCAGCACAACATACCGGCAGGAATAACATTACAGTATGTCACCAGAAGGCTCCTTTAGTTTCATCCTCATATTCTGCTATTAAATATATTCAACATGCTACAGCTTCTTAATAATATAGGAAACACTCCATTTTGATGATTTTAATACTTGTTTCGAGATATTTTAGATTTTTTTTTTTTATTGCCAGCACATCCCATTGGCAGAACCAGACCAACAATGGATAAGTCCTGCGTGTGTATCAGAGCCAGATATATCTTATTACTCTGTGCCACAGAGCTCCATTGTTGTCCAAGAACTAAGTGACATGCTCCTTCATTACCATGAACACACACAGTTCACACAGTGTAGTTTATTTTGACTCAGTCCCACACACACTATCCTGCTGCAACAAATACCAAAAGAACAGAGCACCAAATGTGTGTGCTCTGTTCTGTTTGATTAATGGTTATCAAAAACTAGTTTTAAGCTGTTTTAGGAAATTACTGATCCTTTGGTGTTCCTGCTGATTTCATTGTTTCACCAATGTTTAAACCTCAGTTGGTCTTTTACAAGAGAAATGTCACATACAGCATTATACAGTATACAACAGAAGTGAGTACATTTCTGTGCTATATCACTGTTATGTTACAAATTATGTCATTTCCAAACAGTTGCATTATACCAGTAATACAAGTATAATGCAATAAAGTATTTCCTCTTGCAAACAATTAAAAAATGCTTTTAAAAAAGTAAAATAAAATAGAAACTCAGTGCAGTAACTGTTGTATATACTGTATAAACTGTAACTACATATTTCTTGTGATGGTCAACTTTTAGATTTTCTTGTTTAAGTTATTTTTTTAAAGATATATAATTCCCATTTTATGTTTTTTTGTTATTTAAGAATTTACATGGATTTATTTTTTTCATTCACTAATTATCTGTATTGACCAAGGGTGCATCTTTGACTTTCTTCTATTTCTCTGGCTCCTGATCCTGAACATTTTCAAAGCAGTCCAAGTACTGTGCACAGTTTTTAGTTGTGGTCTTAGGTATGGTTTGGCCACATGAAGGAATTCCATATCACACTACAGACGCTTGTTTGTAAATTAAGGTTTCAAATATATCATTTAGAGGTTGAAAAGTGAGCTCTTCCACATTTGTTTATTGTCTCCTCAATAAGGGTCTTTCAGACACACAGCAAGCTGTTTACTGTGTTTATTTATTTACAGATGAAGAAGTTAGCCCGCAGACAACAGCAACAGCAGGAGCAACACAACAGCCAAAGGCTAGGCCAAGGTGAGGATTTATCATGTGTGTATGTATATGTACTGTACTGGTTAGCTGCTTCCTCTCATGTGGCACAAAGCATTAACAATGTCCTTCTGATAACTGTAATCAGAATTATAATTGTAATGACAGTGATTACTGAGAGCTGGCTAATTTGTGAATTATTGGGATAAACAGCTTGAAATATTACATTTATTATGGGAACAATAAACACAGTAGAGTCGCTCAGCAAACACTCCCAGTTTTGTACACGGCAGCATGAGTCCCATATTCTGAAGCCGACTGACGTCTCTGTTGGTAAATCAGAGTTTTTTTCCGATGGCAGAGCTATAAAGTGGGAGCCGTGATTCTCTCTATGCAGCAGGTCCTCGTGTCTACCAGGCTTATTTCCACTGTGGTCTCGCAGCGGATATGAGCAGACAGTTTAGATAAGTGTCTCAGTGCTTTGGCAAGCACTGCCTCTATCTGTTCAGGGACTTCCAGCATGTCAATATTGGCATAGCAGGAGGGTTTATTATAGTGGAAGCTGCTGCTGTTAACCAAATGAGCTAAGCAAACCAGCAAGTGGGGGTTGTTTGAAGTTGATGTTAGAATGAAATGAAGCCTCCTGGATGACTGGTGAGATATCTGCAAGATAAAACAGTCATTCAGTTAAGACAATGCATTTACAGCATCTGAGAAACCATTTGTTGTACAGTGTTTATAGTCTGTAGAGAAAAGCATGGACACAGCCTCTGTGTTCACATCTATGGAGACGTTTGGGCTCAAGAGCAAGACACTCCTTATTCTTTTCAGTAATTCCATATTTATACCTATGCATGCACTCATGTGAACAGGTCAATAAGCAAACCAATGCAGTACACTTTTATTTACACATATACACTTTTTACATGTCATCACATGTGTGGCTTGAAAGGATCTTTAGTCTGATATTGAATGAATCAATGCAATTGAGAAGCAGTACAGAGGGATTATGATCTGCTCAAAAGAACCTTGGCACGTGTAATAAACACTGTAGCCAGGTGTTAAACCAGGTGTCAAAGCAAACTTCTGTCCAATGTAATCTTCACTTGTCTAAATCTACCACATCAGCAAGCAACCTTCAGAAATCTTCCCCAAGTAAAGTGGGCAGCCTAAATTACTTTAAATGTGAATAATTAGTTTTTTGTTTTTTTCAGACACTGCAGTTCAATAGAAAGTGCAATGTGCTGTTTAGTGTTTATCTAATTCTGAACTACTGAAAGATGTGTGGGCAAGACAGCGATGTGAGTCAGCCTGCAAAGGCAAGTTTATTCAAATGAGTCACTGATGTATTTGTTGTATGGGCATAATAATAAAGCTGTTGACTCTGATTTGCGGCTGATTTGTCAAAGCATTATTAAAACAAAAATATCTGACCCTACACTGATACCGCAACTGAAACTAAGTGACTAATCATCTAACTGAGATTGCAAACCCACTAACCCCGAAATGTCAAAGTAATGGAGTATTACTGAAATTTGGAACTGTAAGATAAGTATTGGAACTCCAAGTCACACAATTTGTGACTAAAAAGAAAACAACACAAGACTGTAACATGTTAATGAGTACATTGGTGGTCATGAAGGTAGAATGAAAATGTTCACACAGAGTCAGCGAAGGTGGGAAAATCTGGAATGTCCTCACATATAGAGAAGGACGATGTTTTTTTGAGTCATACAGCTCAGAGCCGTAACCCTGTTTTCATTTGTTGCCACTGATTTTTACAGAAGTGTTATCAGGATGTATGGAGGACCTGCTCAGCTCCTACTCAGGGCCTCTACGTCCAAGCCAGCAGCAGCAGCAGCAGCAGCTGGTGACCATGGAGCACAGTGGCTACAACACTGACCCCTTCCAACAGGGCCTCACTCCACCACAGATGCCTGGTGACCACATGAACCCCTACGGTTAGCATTACACTCAATAGCCCCTTTCAGACATGCACTTGTTTCTGTTAATCCAGCAGCATCTGAATGTGTTGGCTTCATGTCTGAATGTACACCATGGTCATGTTTCCTTAAAAGTTACATCAACAATCTAACTATCACTTCACCCTGATGCAAGTCTAAAGTGCACACACTGGCTTTTACTGATGGAAGTGGTGGAAGCAACAGACTTATAGATGGGTGAAGTGATTTAAGAAAGATTTCTACATTTCTGCTCTAATATTGGTTACTACAACTAGACAATTTCAATTCTACTACAAACTGAAGTGTTCATAACACAGTCTGTAACAGGTAATATTAATGAGACCCACCAGTAATAAATACATTTCTGCAAATATTATATTATATCTCTTCACGGGACAACACTGACGAAATGACACTTTGCTACAATGTAAAGTAGTCAGTGTACAGCTTGTATATCAGTGTAAATTTACTGTCCTCTCAAAATATCTCAGTACACAGCCATTAATGTCTAAACTGCTGGCAACAATGGCAAATGAAAATGTCCAAATTGGGCCCAAAATGTCAATACTTTGTGTGTCCACCATTATTTTCCTCACTGCCTTAACCCTCTTGGGCATGGAGTTCACCAGAGCTTCAGAGGTTGCCACTGGAATTCTCTTCCACTCCTCCATGACGACATCACGGAGCTGGTGGATGTTGTGGATGCTTGTGCTCCTCCACCTCCTGTTTGAGGATGCCCCACAGATGCTCAATAGGGTTGAGGTCTGGAGACATGCTTGGCCAGTCCATCACGTTCATCCTTAACTTCTTTATCAAGGCAGTGGTTGTCTTGGAGGTGTGTTTGGGGTCGCTGTCATGTTGGAATACTGCCCTGCGGCCCAGTTTCCAAAGGGAGGGGATCATGCTCTGCTTCAGGATGTCACAGTACATGTTAGCATTCATGGTTCCCTCAATGAACTGTAGCTCCCCAGTGCCGGCAGCACTCGTACAGCCCCAGACCATGACACTCCCACCACCATGTTTGACTGTAGGCAAGACACACTTGTCCTCCTCACCTGGTTTCCACCATACATGCTTGACACCATCTGAATCAAATAAGTTTATCTTGGTCTCTTCAGACCACAAGACATTGTTCCAGTAATCCATGTCCTCAGTCTGCTTGTCTTCAGCAAACTGTTTGCAGGCTTTCTTGTGCATCATCTTTAGACCATGCTTCCTTCTGAGATGACAGCCATGCAGACTGATTTGATGCAGTGTGCGGAGGCGTATGGTCTGAGCACTGACAGGCTGACCCCCCACCCCTTCAACCTCTGCAGCAATGCTGGCAGCACTCACACTTCTATTTTCCAAAGACAACCTCTGGATATGATGCTGAACTCAACTTCTTTGGTCGACCATGGCGAGGCCTGTTCTGAGTGGAACCTGTCCTGTTAAACCTCTGTATGGTCTTGGCCACCGTGCTGCTGCTCAGTTTCAGGATGTTGGCAATCTTCTTATAGACTAGGCCATCTTTATGAAGAGCAACAATTCTGTTTTTCACATCCTCAGAGAGTTCTGTGCCATGTTAAACTTCCAGTGAGCAGGATGAGAGAGTGTGAGAGCGATAACACCAAATTTAACACACCTGCTCCCAATTCACACTTGAGACCTTGTAACACGAACGAGTCACATGACACTGGGGAGGGAAAATGGCTGATTGGGCCCAATGTGGACATTTTCGCTTAGGGGTGTACTCACTTTTGTTGCCAGCGGTTTAGACATTAATGGTTGTGTATTGAATTATTTTGAGCAGGCAGTAAATTTACACTGTTATACAAGCTGTACACTGACTACTTCATATTGTAGCAAAGTGTCATTTCTTCAATTTCTTATGAATTACTCACTTTTGTGACATACTGTATGTGCCACAGTAAAAAGCCTGCATTACTGGGGTTGGGGAGTGTTAAACAAGCGAGAATTTGTCAGGCTTCAATAATCTAATAAACAATACTATCAGCTGCATTATGGGAAATGTAGGACTAATACAGGGGACCACGTTGAAGCTATCTCAGCCTCAATTTCTCAGATTCTCAGATTTTGATCTCTTTTTTTTCCATTTGTCCTCAACATTATGGAAGTGCAGTAAATCAGTTTTCAAACTTAATCTACTTCACACTTAGGCATGGCGGTTCAGACATTTAAACAACAATAATGTATATAATATTATGGAAGCATATGGCATTCACTTGAAAAAATAAAAAAGCTCTGTTTTTCTAAATTAGCGAGATAATTTTCTTTAAAAAACAAACAACAAAAAAAAACAACACTGAAACTCCGAGGGGAAGGGTGCTACATGCCCACCTTGATACTTTG